AAAAAAAAAAAAAAAAATTCAAGCTAAAATCCAGTTACAAAAATAATTAAAAACATACACACTACAAGTACTCAATTATAAAAAGCAGACAAAAGACACTTCTTAAAAATTGGAAAACTTGCTGAGTTTCTTACAGTTCTCTCTAATTCATTAAAGTCTTTGAAACAGTGGTACCGCGAACGTTGTTTTCCCCAATTGATTGTTTTGCCGGGTAGAGCCTTCTTACGGAGGCTAATCAATCTTACGAGAGGAATTCGAAGGTCCCATTTTAAAATCCGTTTAAACAAAGACGCCAAAAGTGATTTAATCGTTTGGCTATCGTTCTTGGAGCTATACAGTGGTTGCACATTTTTTCTGGATGAAAGAATGTCCGCTTCACGATATGAAATTACTTCAGATGCAGCCGGTTCTAAAGGATAGGGACTTTATTTAAAACACATTGGTTTTATGGTAGTTGGCCCGAGTCTTGGCAATCACTGAACATCACGGTATTAGAATTGTTTCCTATCGTAATTGCGTTACATATATGGGGGGATCAGTTGGCGGATGAGTGTGTGACGTTCGTGACCGATAACGCTGCCTTAGCTGACATAATCAATAAGCAGACGTCTAAACATAAGATAGTTATGATTCTCATCAGGGATATGGTATTAACTACTCTTAAATTCAATATTTTCTTTACAGCTCGTCATCTTCCAGGGAAGCTTAATGAGCGCGCCGACTTAATCTCCCGTTTTCAGATAGAGCGGTTCAAGGCAATATCCCCTGGAATGGACGAATTCCCAACGCCAGTTTCCGAAAACCTTCAGCCCAGGAATTGGTCGCTCAGTTGAACTTCTCAATTCTAGTCTAACAGCCGGATCTCAAACAGCGTATCAGCGTGCGTGGACTTGTTATCGGCAGTTTCATGCTAGATTCTACAGTGCTTGCAAAACCCACCTAATCCCTGTGTCAATTGACGCCTTAGCCTTATTCATTTCGTACTTAGCTCCAAAAAAATTGCCGTTGCTACTATTCACTCATATGTCTCAGCCATCAGCTATGTTCACCGTGTTAGGGGTATTGGTGACCCAACGAAATCCTTTTTGATACAAAAGCTGTTGACGGCATCCGAAATAGAGTTTCCGATATCCGACTGCCAATATCGCATCCTTTACTTCACCAGTTAGTAAGTTTGCTGAGTTCGACTCATTCCTCGGCGAGACAAAGGAAGCGATATGCTGCAATGTTTACGACGGCCTTTTATGGTTTCTTTCGCATCGGAGAGCTAGCGGCCAGAAATGTGGATTCGGGCGGGGATGTTCTGCAATATGACGATCTTTGTTTTATATCATCAAACTGGGGCATAAGTATGGCCAAGTTGACAATACGCAAATTCAAACACAACACAGCGAATAAAGCCTTTGAAATCGTAATCGCAAGAGAAAATTCTGTGTTAGTTTGCCCAGTCCAAACACTACTTGATTACTGTGGCATGAGAAGCGCTGCTCCTGGTCCTCTATTTTGTGAAAGTGATCTGCGCCCGGTCACCATCAGCTCGTTCAATACTGCATTAAAACGTTGCCTTGTTTTTTGTGGTTTAGACACGAGCCGTTACAAAGGCCATAGTTTCCATATTGGAGCCGCAACTCACGCTTCCGAGCAAGGTTTCTCTGATTCCCAAATTCGCAGACTTGGTCGCTGGCAATCTGATGCACTTAAATCGTACCTCCCTTCAGGTGCTTTGTCGGCTAATGCCAAAAACGATTTAAGCTGCTAATTTTGACGTCCCTGATCTAGTTCAGACAAGGGCTGCTATTTCATGGGCACGCGAATTTATCCTTTCTAGATACTCTAGAATAGTTCAGTCATGGGCTGCTATTCTTGCTAGTTTAGGGCTATCAATCATTTGCTTAAGGCTTAGTGTTAACTGTACACCATATTAAGCCACACGTTGCAAGGCAAAGGTTTGTTCAGACATGGGCTGCGGACTAACTGTCTTGTTTACGGGTGGCTAAACTATCCGCGCTTGGATCTAAATTTAACGTTACGATTTTACAAAGCATAAGTCTGTTCAGACATGGGCTGCAGACCGCTGCTTTTCTATACGATAGTCCTATTTGTACAGGTCGTTCAAGCATGGGCTGCGACGTCCTTTTGCATTTATTTGCCAGTAATTGCTTTTCGCGTGATCTGTTTGTTGGCCGGTGGGGTGGCCACAGGTTTGTGGCTTATGGCAGGTTTTTCCCCCACCTTTGATGTTTGAGATCTAACAAGTTACAGTTTCTGTATATTCAATGTTTATCATTTATTAAACCGTCACGCTGGTGGCATATTTACTCCAAATCCTAGTAGTTGTCATCTCTCTGCGCATCAAACTAGGCGCCAACAAACAGATCACGCAATTAGCTTTGTACACGATGATTGGCCCTAAACAAAAAAGAGTTGTTTTTTCTTATCTAAATGAAAATCATTGATAAAATACTAGTTTAGTTAATAATTTCAAGATAAAGGAAATCTC